TCTCCGGGGCAGCCAAGGTACATAGCGGCCCCAGTCTCTCCAGAGCATCCTTCGCGGCTGGTCTCCGCCTGCACCAGGCTCGCAGCCTCGGGCCTGGAGGCTGACTTCTTTTGTGTTTTGTTTTCTGCCCCGCGCCTCATCTCGGCAGGACCCGTTCGTTCTTCTGCGGGCTACAAGAAGGCAGAGGATGAGATGTCCCGGGCCACGTCTGTTGGAGACCAGCTAGAGGCACCGGCCCGCATAATTTACCTCAACCAATCTCATCTCAACAAATTCTGCGACAACCGGATCAGGTAGGAGAAGCTGCAGCCAGGTGAAGCTCAGCGCTCACCTTCACGGGATGGGTTTTCAATCACCCGGCTGGCCCTCAGTCCATTTGCTTCCCCCAGCACTTTGCATCTCTGCCTCCTGCACCTACCTCGAGCTCAGAGGTCTACACCAGGTACTCAGTGCGCCATGTGAGCACAGGGGCTATCTTCCTCCCCTCTGCAGTGCAATGCCACAGTTCCTCTGGGGGCCCCGCGGAAGTTACTCTGATGCCAAAAGTGAAGGTGTCTACTCACCCCTGTACTGCCTTCTAAGAATCTCAGTAGTCTCCATGCAACCTCATTGATAGTTCTCTTTGTCATCACGAGTAGTTTGCAGAACGTCTGTGGGGAAGTGCTTTATTAGGCAATCGCACAGGCCCTAGGGATTCACATTCATTTCCCAGTGACCCACTGCTTTTGCTAAGGGTCTTGTTTGCTAGGAAACTTTGTCTAGTGTCAGCAGAAAAATGAATGGAAGGTAGCATTTTAACATCTGCTTAGTGTCTGCTCTCTGCCTGCCGGCCAGTGTGTTAGATGTGTTAGCAGTGCCAGCATCTCCAGTGTCTCGTGGAGCAAGTCATTACCGTCCAGATCAGGAAACTGGATAGAGATGTGGCATGGAGTACTATGATCTTATATTAACAGATACTAAATGGGAAAGCCAGAAGTCAGAACCCACTCATCTGAGCAGCAAACATATCCCAGCTGTTGTGCAAGACTTGCTTCTTAGCTTGGTGTTAGCACACTTTGAAATGTCATTAAACTTTTGAGCTTTGAACAGCTTCACCTCTGCAAGTGATTTCTGAGGATAGTTTTGTGAGCGCTGTAGGTCACCATACTCAGGCCTGGAAGATACTGATGGACCAGGTCCCACACAGATTATTGAGATACAATCTAGTACTCTTCTTCTCCTCCTCCTCCTCCTCCTCTTCCTCCTCCTCCTCCTCCTCCTCCTTCTCCTCCTCCTCCTCCTCCTCCTCCTCCTCCTCCTCCTCCTTCTTCTTCTTCTTCTTCTTCTCTTCTTCTTTAAATAAAGCTTTGGCTAAAACTTTGCTATTGTTACATATCTATTACACTACTTCAGTCATGCCACACTGGCTGCCTAGCTTGCAGCGAGATATGGTTGTTGGGTCATTTCTATAGCTTGATAGAATTTGGGAAAGAATAACAATTCACCTATGTGCATTTATTTTATTAAGGGAGTGTTAGGTTGTGTGGCTTTATTTTGTGTTTCAAGAATAACCTTTGAACACATTTTACATTTAAAGAAGTAAAGCTTAGGATATCTGAATCTTGATTCCTGAATATATAGGCTTGTTTTAAGATATGGAACATTACAGATATTACAAACAGCCCATTATGACATTACAAACCTGGGTAAATGTACTAAAAAAAAAAGAGGAAACTGGAGCCTCATACATTGCCAGTAGGAATAAAAGATGGGGCTGCTGCTCTGGGAAGTAGTTTGGCATGTCTCCAAAAAGATCAGGGTAAAATTAGCACAAGACCCAGCAATTCCAAGACCAGGTATACATAGCTAACACATGGGGAAACAGAGGTCCTCACAAACACATGTACACCATGTACATAGCAGCAGGACTATGGTTGCCAGAACACACACACACACACACACACACACACACACACACACACACACACATATCCAGGTCTTTGTTCAGATGAGTCTATGAAGTGTGGAAGAGCCACACAATGGAATATTGTCTGGCTACAAAATGATACAAAATAGATGAACCTTAAAAGTTATTAAATGAAAGAGCAAGTCGTGAAAAGCCTCATTTTGTAGGAACTGATGTATGTGAAATAGCTGAAAGAGAGATGTATCTCATGATCCACTCGCGGTTCCTGGGGCTGGGGAAGGAAGATGGACGTATGGGAGATGGAGTGACTGTGCGGCTTGGAATGGTGGCTGTATTACTCTGAATGCATGAAAAGTCCTGATGCTGAGCATTGGCCATACAGTTCCAGGTCTCCACACCTTCCATATTTCTGCTGAATTCCTTGGAAAAACACTAAGGTCAGTTGTAAAAATTTAATATTGTGTAAGGAGATTTGATTGGAGCATCATTTGTTTTTTGAACTAGGGTACTTTTCAAAAGTTATTTTTAATTTGTTCCACCAATTTTAGTATCTTTTTGTGCTGCTGGTTTGAAACAGTGGCAATAAAATAGGGATCTCCCCACCCCAATCCCTAGTTTCCACAGGAAGTGTGCTGTTTAGTTTCTTGTCAACTTGACACAAGCAAGGGTTATTGGTATCCTGGCATTAGGCTGACCCTGCCCCCTGTCAATGGGCAGGATAGGCACACCAGCATTCAGGCAGATACTTAGACAGCTCAAAGGGCCCTGTGTTGCGCAATGCCTTATATTGCTGCGTAAGGACTCTGTTCGCATGTGCAAGCTTCCCCTTTTAAGCGAGCGCCCTCTGCCCCTACCCTCCCTTCCATCTCTGCGACTGGTCAGCCGACACATACTCCTTCCTTTGTTCCCTTTCCCAATAAACTCCACGTGTGTTTTTTGAGTCTTGTGATTCTTGTTTCATCTCCCGAAGCTGCAGCAAACAACAAGGGTCACCTGGGAAAAGGGAACCTCGGTTGAGAAAATACCTCCATTAGATGGCTCTGTGGGCAAGTTTATGGGGGACATTTTCTTGATTGATAGTTAATGTAGGTGAGTCCAGCCCAGTGTGGATAGTAGCATCCCTGGGCAGGTAGTCCTTGAGCATCTAAGAAAGCAGGCTGTTGAGCCATGGAGAGCAAGCCAGTAAGCAGCACTCCTCCATGGTCTCTGCTTCAGCTCCTGCCTCTAGGTTCTTGCCTTGAGTTCCTGCTCTGACTTCCCTTCATGATGGCCTGAACTCTGTAGATTGAAATAAATCCTTTGCCACTAAGTTGCTGTGCTCATGTGTTATCATAGCAATGGAGAGTGAACTAGGACACGAGGCAAACATTAGGGCGCAATGGAGCCTCAATACCTGTTTGTATCAGGGCTGGTTTTATCCTTAGAGGGATACCCGATATGTAGTTTCATTTGTACTTTTTTTTTTTGCAATAAGGGTTTGGAATAGGTATGTGTATTGAATTAGCTAGGAATAAAGCAGGCATATACCAGCTGTATAACTGTATAGTTGGATTCATTTTAAATATATTATACCAAGTATTAAAATTTTAATTTCTGACTTTGTGGCTTATCCTGTAAGAATGTTTCTAAGTGCACTGGACCTAGTGTGGCCCTTGCACTTCTGTATTCCACTTCTGTTGGGTGTTAATGGGACTCACTAATGGTTGTCAAAGGCTTGTAGTTCATTTAGAACTTGCTTTCAAAGCTTGACATTAGAGTTTGGGGCTTTCACCAAACATTGAGGTAAGGAATTGGAGCACTTTAGTAATGCTGAATCAAATTTATAAAGCACTGAGTTTTTTTTTTTTTTTAAAAAAACTAAGATATTCAAGGGAATGTTCTCACCACAGGAAATTGCTAAAGAATTTCTTTTTCTTAATGAGAAAAGGCTGATATTTTTCTTTAGGCAGAAACATGGAGGGGGTCTTTCTCAGACCACCCCTCTCCCTCTCATGCTGGGGATGGAAGGTTCCTTATACACTCCAAACAAGTGCTATGCACCTCAGCATGTTGCTTCTAAGTCAAGCTTTTTGGAAAGAAAGGCTCCCAGGGGGCAGCTGAGGGGCCCAGTGATCATTGCCTGGTGTGTCTTTTCAGAGCTTGACCTCTCCAGGTCGGGTTCTTTGACTCTCCCCACATCAGGATCTTTCTGACTCAGACAGTGGCCGGTGCCACCTTGGCAATCACTGTGTAGTTGCTTTTGAAGATGCTTGGCGAGCTTTGACTTAAGCCACGGACAGGGCCATGGAGTTTGACAGTGAGGAAGGGGGCTGTTGAGCGTCTGGGGAAGCATGTGAAAGGTGATGTGTTGTACTTTAGTATCAGGACTCAAGGAGGAGGCTTGACCTGAAGAATGTCTAGGAGAGCCAGTGACCCATCGTATCTGGTTGGCCCTATACCATCTGGGGATGCTCTACCTGGGAATTCTAAATTTAGTCCTGAGAGTTATGTCATGTGTGTGTGAGAGTCTCTCCAAACCTTGGTCTTGGACTCAACACTGAAGTAATGTCCGATCTTCCGCTTGCTGATGTTTTCCACCAGGAAGCCAGATTCTGGTCATTTTTGAAGCAGCACCTTCGTCCTAGGCAATGGTTCTCACCTAAGAGGACAATGATTTTCTTCATTGTGTAGAAATTAATAGTAAAGCTGGGCATGTTGATGTGCACCTTTGATCCCAGCACTCGGGAGGCAGAAGCAGGTGGATCTCTGTGAGTTTGAGGCCAGCCTGAGTAGCGAGACACTGTCTCAAAACAAAACAAAAAGAAATGAATTGCGATTAGTGGAATGTTTCAGGGTTCTTATGTTTATGGAGGACTATGCACCTAACAAGATCTCCTTTTTCTGGCGAACACTCTCATCTCCTTCCACACATTTACATGCACAATATAGACAACTAAAGTTCAGTGATGTTTTTGTTTATTCATGGAATTGTGTAACCATCATAATTGTAAAATTTAGACCATTTATACCACTTCAGGAAGAAACTGTACCATCTGTCAAGCATCCTTCTCTCTCCAAGTACCATCACCTATCAATTATCCTTCTCTCTCTCTGTACCATCTATCTGACATCCTCCTCTCTCCCTTCTGCCTCTTCCTCTCCCCCTCAGCATCTAAATAACCACTAATTTACTTTATGTTTCTATGTGTCAGTCATTTCCCATGAATGGTTACCTTATCCTTTTTTTGTAGTTTATTTAAATTAAAGTGTACTTAGAGGAATGTGTTGGTAAATCTTTAGTTTCTATATCATGGCATAACTCGCCAAAGGGATGATGAACAATATTTATGATATCACAGTTAGCAATATGTCATCTCTCTCTGTGGTTATCAATGTATGCAATTTGGA